GGGAAGTGTTGGTTCCGGATGTTGTAACACAGGAGTGAATGTGAAATGATTTTTTAATCACTCAAATGCTGTTTGTGCTTCGTGGCTCCAGAGGAAACGTGTATGCTGGCGAGTGAGTTGGGTAATGGGGGCAATGAAAAGCCTTTGATAAATTTTCAGTAGAAATTGGCAAAGCCTACAAATCTTTGGACGCCTTTCCTGTCAGAAGATGTAGGCCAATTCAAGATGGCAGAGACTTTCTGAGGATCCATGGAGATTCCCTGGAAATTACGAGCCCCAGGAACTGGATAGACTGCTTCTCAAACTCGCACTTCTCCGCCTTTGCGTACAGGCCATGCGTCCTCAGCGTAGTCAGTACCTTCTTAACATGGTCTCGGTGAAGTTCCAATGAGTTAGAGAAAATCAGGATATCGTCCAGGTAGACAATCAAAAAGAGACCACGATATTCCCTGAAGAAGTCATTCATGAAGTGTTGAAATGTTGCAGGGGCGTTGCATAATCCAAACAGCATCACAAGGTACTCGAAGTGTCCGAAGCGTGTTCTGAAAGCGGTTTTCCACTCATTGCCTTCCCTAATGTGAACTAAATTGTAGGCCGCCCTGTAAGTTTAATTTAGTGAACACTCAGGCTGTCCAAAACCTCTGAAATAACAAGAGGAAGTGGACACCGATTCTTGATGGTAATTCTGTTGAGTTCTCTGTAATCGGCGCAAGGTCTGAGAGACTGATCTTTTTTTTTCAACAAAGAAAATACCTGCCTTGGCAGGTGAGGAAGAGGGGCGGATGGGTTCTCATCTAAGTATTGCCGGAGGGCTTCCAGTTCAAGTTTGGACAATGGGAAAATCCACCCAAACGGTATTTCTGCCCCTGGAAGCAGTTCAATTGGGCAGTCATAAGATCGATGAGATGGCAATGTGTCGGCCTTTTTTTAATCGAACACATCAAGGAAGTCATGCTAGGTAGGGGGAACTGATTGACTGGCATCTGGTGGAGGTTGAACTGAGAGGCACACGGAAGAATTGGTGGAGGTGCCACAGTGCTAAAGGCAGTAGCTTGATGGAAAGGTGACTTCTTTTTTGGGCCAGTTGGGTTGGGGGTTGTGGGCTTGCAACCAGGGTATTCCTAGGATGGCTGGAAACATGGGGGATCTAAGGACATCGAAGCGGATGAATTCCTGGTGGCCGGAATCAGTTGTTGCTAGGACGGGAATGGTTTCCTGGGTAACAGGTCCTGAGCTAGGAGTAGTGCGATCCGCTAGTAATACATCAAGTCTTTGCTTCTTTGGAAGAAGAGGAATACATAAGTCCTTAGCAAGGTTGATGTCCAAGAAACAGCTACAGGCTCCTGAGTCAACGATTGCCCGCAACTTGACTTCCCTTCCAGCCACCTGCAAAGATATAGGGAGAATGACATGGGTGGTTAAAGTTCCGGACAACTGGAGATACGAAGGATGGGGCTGGCTGGACTTACTTGGTCACACTGGGCAGTTGCACAAGAAATGGCCCAGGGCCCCGCAGTAAAGACATAGATTGCCTTGCCGTCTGTGTAGCCTTTCTTCTGGAGTTAGAGCAGGTCGGAGAAGGCCAATTTGCATTGGTTCTACTTCAGAAGTGCTGATGGGCTGAGGAGCAGGGCAGGAGCCGAAGGTCCTGGAATCCTCGGCAGAACCCACGTGGGTCAAAAGGTCTGAGTACACTCAGAACGTCTTCCCGTAGTCGTCAATCCAACTTGGTAGAGAGCTGAATAAGGTTCTCCAAGGAGGAGGGAACTTCCACCCTAGCTAACTCATCCTTGAGGGATTCGGACAGGCCTAGACAGAACTGGTATTTTAATGCTGCGTCATTCCACCTGGTATCAGCTGACCATTTGCGGAATTCCACAATGTAGTCCTACAGAGGCTGCCTTGTAGTAGAGCATGGAGGGCAGACTCAGCAGTGGAGGTCCTCTGCGGATCATCATAAAGGGCAGCCATGGTTTAAAAAAATGTGATCACTGAGTTGAGTGCTGGGTTCTTCTGTTCCAGTAGGCTGTGTGCCCATGATTGAGGTACATCAGACAAAAGGGAGATGATGAACCCAACCTTAAACGCCTCAAGTGAAAAGGTCCTTGGTTGCAGGGCAAAGTACAGCTCACAAGCATTTTTAAAGGCTCTGAATTTACATCGGTCCCCGAGGAATCATTCAGGAGTGGGGACCTGGGCTCCGGAGGCAGTAGCACCACAGCAGGTGTAGCAGCAGGAGGCGAACTGGCAGATGTGACTATAGGGTTAGAACTGACAGATGTATTCTGGACTGCAGAAGTCACAGAAGTAGTGAGGGAGTGAAGACGTCCTTCCAGCTGTAAGTATCCTTCCTGCAGAACTTTAATCGCTTGGGTAAGTGCTGTCATCTGTTGGCACAGGGCCTCTATTGCGGAAGCGCCTCTCTCGGTCTCGAACATAATGGCTGGTTGATACTATCACGTACCTAGTGTTAGAGACCAATGGAGAGAGGACTTCCCTTGCTGCTAAGTTCCAGACTCCCCTAGATATGGGACAATGGGAGTCGGGCCCAAAGTAGCACGGGTCGCCTGTAGGAGTGCTGGTCAGAGGTCCACCCAGGAGCACCGCTGATGCACTGGAAAGTCTGCAGACAGGTGGTGCCTGTGAGAGGTACGCAGGTCTTCAGGGGAACAGAGGACCAGAGTAGTCGGTTCAAAGTCAAGGTCAGATGCCGAGTGGGGATCAGAGCAGATGTAGTCAGTAGAGTAGCCAGGGTCATACACAGAGGAGCGGGAGAGAATATCCATTAACCAAGCCGGGGTCAGGTCAGGAGTCAGGCAGAGAAGACAGGTCCAAGAACAAGCCGGGTCAGTAACAGGAAATCACTAAGCAAGGAACACAGACAATGGTACTGGGGAGCCAGAGATCAACCAGCAACTTAAAGGGAGTGATGAGCCTCCTTATAAAGGCCGTCAGGCACCAAATTGAGCCAATGCGTGCGCAACTATGCGCATGCGTGTTCCGGCTCGTGTCCATGCGCCAAAGCGCATGGATATTCACCAACATGCACTTCTGTGGCCATGCAGGGTACTGGCAGGAGTGCCAGGTCTCCCAGAACTTCTGCTGTGGACAGAACACTGACAGGAGGGCTCTGTGTGGGGGTTTGTATGAGAGTCTTCAGGGGCCAAGTGTGTGGTGCAAGAAGGGGGGCTGGGGATGCAGTGTGGGGTCTTGGGGGGAGGAGTAGCCTTTTTTCTGTCCCGCCCGAGCTGGGGAACCGCTCCCAATGTCTGTACTGAGTATGTGATATCAGTTCTCCCCCCCCCCCCCCCCCACCTTTCCCCTCTCACCTCCCCACTCCCCTCCTCACAACCCCCCCTCTCCAGTTTGCCATCATCGCACCGACACATCATTAATTGTTCATTCAATAAACTTTATTTGAATTTTACTTTGGACAAGATTGCAGTCATAGAATCAGGAGACAGTAAAGGCAGAAATCCGATTGGTGAGGAAGATCCGCAGTCTGGAATGTGGAGGCAGTCATTATTGATAACAATACACAACGCGTTCCATTATTCTAACAAGATCCTGACATAGACAATGGGGGGAGGGGTATAATCCTGGATATGGGGAGGGGGATAATCCCAGGGGGGAGGGGTATAATCCCAGATATGGAGGGGGGATAATCCTGGATATGGAGGGGTATAATCCCGGATATGGAGAGGGTTATAATCCCCGAAATGGAGGGGGGGAGGGGTATAATCCCCGATATGGAGGGGGAGGGGTATAATCCCAGATATGGAGGGGTATAATCCCAGATATGGAGGGGGAGGGATATAATCCCCGATATGGAGAGGGAGGGGTATAATGCCCGATATGGAGGGGCATAATCCTGGATATGGAGGGGTATAATCCCGAGGGGAGGGGTATAATCCCGGATATGGAGGGGGGGGATAATCCTGGATATGGAGGGGGAGCGGTATAATCCTGGATATGGAGGGGGGATAATCTCGGATATGGGGAGGGGGATAATCCCGAGAGGGGGGTAATCCTGGATATGGAGGGGGATAATCCCGGATATGGAGGGGTATAATCCCAGATACGGAGGGGGAGGGGTATAATCCCGGATATGGAGGGGTATAATCCCAGGTATGGAGGAGGGGTATAATCCGAGCGATCTATGCTTCTAAGGGCAGAGGAGACATCTGGGGGCTACAAGAGGACCTTCAGTCACGAGCCATGTTGTTCATCCCTTTTGATACCAATAAAGTTGTTGTTCCCCCCCCCCCCCATGGAAAGGTGAACACATACGTAGGCCCCACCACCCTATGTGAGATATCTCCGCACACGTCACAGCATGAGCGATCATTCCAGCACCGGACCTCCCGTGTCCCTCCACACTGGTGACCTGGAAAGGCTTGTAAGGCATGACCTGTGGAGATGTTCAGGTCCCGTAGTTTGTGACGTGTGACATGTTGGGGAAATGTTCGCTCGGCCAATCATCATTCCATCAGACATCTGGGGGTTATATTGCCATTTTGTGTGTTAAGATTCAATAAAGTTTATTTCTTCCAAGAAATTTGCGTTTGAAAAACTGACATCAACCGTTGCAGCACCCGCCATTTTATTCTCCAGGGACTCTGCGTCATATAAGTATATAATGTTTGGGGGTCGAAGCAAAAAAACAAAAAAAAAAAAACGTTGATTTATACACATGTGGGAAAAGTGTCAGCATTTTATTCTCTCCTACCATCAATGGCCAACCCCGTCCCACACTTCATCCACGTCTTTGGGGACCTCTGATCTCCTTATGAACCGTTTCTTCCATGATGAAGATCAGCCATGGCGTATATCTGAGGTGTATATCAGGGGGTGCTTCTTCCCCACATGAGAGCTGGGATGTCCAGCAACATTCATCTAGAAGACATTTCCCGCATTCAAGGCACTAATACACCTCCAGGTTTGTGTGGGACCCCTGATGTCCAGGAAAACAGGACTTCAGTGAGGAACATTTCCCTCACTCAGGACAGGAAAGTGGCTTCTCCCCCGTGTGCAATCTCTGATGTCTGTAAAGATTGGACTTCTGTGTAAAACATTTCCCGCACTCAGGACAGGAATACGGCTTCTCCCCCGTGTGAGATCTCTGATGTGTGTAAAGATAGGGCTTCTGTGAAAAACATTTCCCGCACTCAGAACAGGAATATGGCTTATCACCTGTGTGAGATCTCTGATGTCTGGAAAGATCGCATTTCTGTGAATAACATTTCCCGCACTCAGGACAGGAATAAGGCTTCTTCCCCGTGTGATATCTCCGATGTCTGGAAAAATGGGATTTCTGTAAATAACATTTCCCACACTCCGGGCACGAATACGGCTTCTCCCCCATGTGAGATCTCTGATGCGTGTAAAGATGGGACTTCTGGGAAAAACATTTCCCGCACTCAGGACAAGAATATGGCTTTTCCCCCTTGTGAGATTTCTGATGTCTGAGAAGATCTGACTTGTGTAAAAAACATTTCCCGCACTCAGGACAAAAGTATGGCTTCTCCCCCGTGTGCAATCTTTGATGTGTGTAAAGATTGCCCTTCTGTGAAAAACATTTTCCGCACTCAAGACAGGCGTACGGTTTTTCCCCTGTGTGAGATCTTTGATGCTCATGAAGTTTGGATTCAAAACAGAAACATTTCCCGCACTCAGAACAGGAATACGGCTTATCACCTGTGTGAGATCTTTTATGTGCTTTAAGGTGGCATTTAAAACGGAAACATTTCCCGCACTCAGTGCAGGAGAACTTCTTGTCTGTTGGAAGGCCGGCCTGGTCCCGCACAGTCTGAGGTTCCTTAGGATACGAGGAATCTGATGGTCCATCTACACTGGGTGGGAACCGGTGCACATTTTTGGTTGAAGGGTCTTCTCCTGGACTATATTGGGACATAGTGGGGTCTTCTCCTGGACAAGGTTGGGACATAGTGGGGTCTTCTCCTGGACAATGTTGGAAGGGAGCCGGCTTTTCTCCTGGACTATACTGTGTGATATCCTCATCTTCTACTTTCCAGTCTGGAGACAAAGTGAGACAATCTTCGCAGGTTTTTCTCAACTCCCGGCCATGGACTAAAATACAAAGACAAAGAGGATTACTAGACAGGAGCCCCACCAGAGGTCAGAGAGTGAGGAGGGGGGAAGACAACTAAGAGGAAGACTGGACTCATCCTGAAGACCACCATCATTGGGGTATTGGTTCCTCCCCCCCCCCATCCTGACCCTCAAGACCACCATCATTGGGGTATTGGCTCCTCCCCCATCCTGAAGACCACCATCATTGGGGTATTGGCTCCTCCCCCATCCTGAAGACCATCAATGGAGTATTGGCTCCTCCCCATCCTGAAGACCATCATCATTGGGGTAATGGCTCCTCCCCCATCCTGCACCTAAAGACCACCATTATGGGTTACTGGCTCCTCCGCATCCTGAAAACCACCATCATTGGGGTATTGGCTCCTCCTTCATCCTAATGACCATCATTGGGTTATCAGGTCCTCCCTCATCCTGAAGACCAACATCATTGGGTTATTGGCTCCTCCTCCATCCTGACCCTGAAGACCACCATCATTTGGTTATTGGCTCCTCTCTCATCCTGAAAACCACCATCATTGGGTTATTGGCTCCTCCCCCATCCTGAAGCCCATCATCATTGGGGTATTGGCTCCTCCCTCATTATCACTGTCTGTTATCACCATGTAAAAGTCTGTGCTCCAATCATGAATGGATAGGGATAGTGAGGGTGGGAGGAGAACACCCGAGAGGAAGACTGGCTCATCCTGAAGACCATATATAATTTTGGGGAAGACCAATCAGGATGCAAGGCATCAAATGGGCACGGTTTGAGGACGTCATCACGTTAGGCAGAGTGCCCGCAAGGCACAAGGAGACCGCGGCTTGGGGAGTCTGCAGGGATTCTGTGTATTCGATGCAGGACTGATTGTATAACTATGTAAATGTTTTTCTGTTTTATCCATTTAATAAATATAACAGTGAGCACTATGTAGTCTCTTTATCTCTAGGAGCCGGAACTGGCCACTTAAAGGGGAGACCCCCCTCTACATGTCCCTGATGGATTTAGTGTTCCTGACCCACCTGTGCTGATCTCTGTAGGAGTGTCCTCCTCTATAAATGTCCCCGTTATTCCATCCTCCTCCATAGACTGCTGATCATCCCTCACATACATCTCTTCTTCTTCTGATTTCACCTCAACCTTTATATCTATCAGATCTTCACCCTAAACCAAGAGAAGGAGAGAAAATATCATCTGTAAAGTATAATCTACAAAGATGCTGCCACATCACTTACACAAGTCCATGTTCTAGATGTCCCACCTACCTGAGGATGGTGAGGGATGGTGTGACCTTCCTGTGTGGAATCCTGGGAATACAGAGGATGGGGACATCTCTCTGGTGGGTTCCTATAGCTGGATGACTCCACCATGGTGTCCTGGTACAGATCTTTGTGTCCTTCTGGAATCTCTGACTCCTCCATCACCCCATCCTCATCATCCTGCTCCTTTATCTCTTCTTTAATATTCACCTTTGTGGAATCCCAGGAATACAGAGGGCGGGGACATCTCTCTGGTGGGTTCCCATGACTGGATCCATCTACCTGATGATGGTGAGGGATGGTGTGACCTTCCTGTGTGGAATCCCAGGAATACAGAAGACAGGGACATCTCTCTGGTGGGTTCCCATGACTGGATCCATCTACCTGATGATGGTGAGGGATGGTGTGACTTTCCTGTGTGGAATCCTGGGAAAACAGAGGATGGGGACATCTCTCTGGCGGGTTCCTATGACTGGATCCATCTGTAGGAAAACACACACACTGACTGAATCCATTGTTTCTATGTGTTTATCAGATGATGGGGGATCTAGGTGGAGCCTCCGTACTGCTCTCTCCTTTCCAATAAAGTCTCCTCTTACCCGGTGATGTGAGGGGCGGCTGATTGTCCATCATGACGTCCTTGTAGAGATCCTTGTGTCCTTCTAAATACTCCCACTCCTCCATGGAGAAATAGACAGTGACACCCTGACACCTTATAGGAACCTGACACACAATGATACAATCACCATCCAGACACATCCCTTGTCTGTTACTGGAGAATGTCCCAGAATTCCCGGCACCACTCACCTCTCCTGTCAGTAGATGGACCATCATGGTGGTCCGTTCCAGGATCTTCTGCTCTTTGTTCCTCTCAGGTATCGGAGAATGAGGGGGAGGCACCATGGTGGGGCTCTGGGTCCTGCTCAATCCTCCTGAGATTGGCTCCCCACTAGACTTCTTCACTACAACATAATCCTACAGATCAGGAGAAAGAGAAACCGATATCAATCATCTGACATCATCTACATGTCTACAAGAAGAACATGGTCTATTGGCCAGACTAGACCAGAGTGATGTCATGTGACCTCCCAGAATCCTCCTCACCTCTCCGGTCAGCAGGTAGATGATCTCCAGGGTGAGGTTTAGTATCTTCTCAGTCATGTGACTCTGGTCCTCCTCCATCCTCCTCTGGGCAGCTATGTGGTCTATACAGGTTTCGGCCTCGACAGGTAACTATAAGTAGTGATGATAGAAGTCATATAATTGGTCAGTATAGACTGAGGAGGTGAGAAGCTGATTAGTGGAAAAGGTGACGTCTCCACAATGAGGAGAATGTTCCGGCCCCGGAAGTGGGGGAATGTTCTGCCCCTGAAGGGGTTAATCTGGGTTCCCACACTATATATGTGTGTATCATCTGCTGGAGATAAAAGACGTCACAGTGACTATGAAGGAAGAGGACGGACGTGACGGTGGAGGAAGAGGATGGGACGTGACGGTGGAGGAAGAGGACGGGCGTGACGGTGGAGGAAGAGGACGGGCGTGACGGTGGAGGAAGAGGACGGGCGTGACGGTGGACGGGCGTGACGGTGGAGGAAGAGTACAGGCGTGACGGTGGAGGAAGAGGAAAGACTTGACAACGGAGGAAGAGGACGGGAGCAACAGTGGATCAAGAGGACGGACATAACGGGGGGTTACTGGGTGTAAATATAAAATCAGATCTTATTACCTCTTCTGCTGCCACTTCCAGCAATGTCTCCTCTCTACTTCCTCCTGACTCACCTCTCACACGCTACTTCCGGTCTGTCCCTGACATCACTTCCTGTCTGTCCCTGACACCACTTCCTGTCTTCCATAGAGACTTCCTGTCTGGGTAGAAGTGAGATCCCCATCCCCACATGAAGGCGAATGAAGGTATATCTGATAATGGCTGTGTAACTTCCTACCTTCGTATCCAAGCAGTGGAGCAGACCGGACCGGCAGATGTTCAGGTTAGATGGATCCAAACGTATACACGGGAATGAAATCAGCGTGGGTTTATTTGGTCCAAAATACAGCGACAAACAGTGATACAATACTGTAAGGTAGTAGAGGTATTGATGCTGTCCTGTGATATCTTTCCTGAGGCTAACTGCTGGTCAAAAACTGATGCCTTCACAAGCCCAGGGTATTGAATGTCCTGTCACACAGCTATATAGCAGATAAAATGGCTGCAGGAAGTGACCAGAACCAAGGCTTGCCTAAAACCACGCCCAGCAGAGAAAACACTTACTAGCTATAACAGAGGCATGCAGCATGCAAATTCTGGCCAGCAGATGGCAGCAACAGATCAAGACATAGAAACAAACATGGTGAAATAAGAATTGGTGATACAATGCACAGTTAAATAACAAATATGAGGGGAACAGCACACTCCCCGTCTGAAATTCCATAAGGGATTTCACTATGACGAATGTCCATAAAATATAAAACAACCTGTAACAAAGAACATGTTAGAATGCAATAAACATAACAATATAGTAGATTCCGAGTTGGAATAGAGAAGAACCACAAAGTTCAAGTTCAGTAGAGTTCACCCAGCAGGAATGTTCTCGATGGGTAGTATCAAAATGAGTTCGTTAATTGGCCTTGCGAACATTTTAAGCTCACCCTTTCTGAAGATCTTCAACTCCACTTTACGGACCTTGCCATCCTTGCTAGGAAGAACCTTTGTAATTAGTCCCATAGGCCAGTCAATCCGTACGGTATGTTGCTCCTTCATTAACACGAGGTCGCCTTCTTTTAGGTTTGGTTTGTGGTGTTGCCACTTTCTTCTTCCTTGAAGAATATTGAGATACTCCTTTCGCCACCTGTTCCAGAAGTAATCAGCTAGGTATTGTACACGTTTCCAGTGTTTTTGGTAGATATTCGCATGAGTAAATTCTCCACTAGGCAATAGCGTAATCTCAGTTTTTTGGGTAAGTAGGATAGCTGGAGTCAGTACGGCTGGTGTTTCAGGATCCATAGATACTGGCACGAGGGGTCTAGAATTGATGATGGCTGAAACTTCAGCGAGAGAAGGGTGACTAGAGTCTCATGTGTGAGTCTTGAAGAGTTTACATCCATCAACATAGAATTCAAGATGTTGCGTGAGATCCCGATCATTCTCTCCCAGGAGCCCCCCATGTGGGAACTATGAGGAGGATTGAAAATCCAGGTGCAACCCTTTTCCGCCAAGTGATCTTGAATGGATTTGGTGTCTATGTTCATTTCTCTACAGGCTCCAATGAAGTTGCTTCCACGGTCAGACCTCAACTGTTTCACTGGTCCTCTGATTGCGAAGAACCGTCTTAAGGCATTAATAAGGCTGG